CAGGTCGAGGCTGCGGTGGCTGGGAGCGGCCACTGCACTCCAGTCTGGGCGACAGAGTGAGACTCCAACTGAAAAAAAAAAAAAAAAATCCTATGTTACATGAAACTGTTGCTAATATAAGATGCTGAGAAATCAGTTTAATGTACTGTGGTTGGGGGCATAGATATAGCTTTTATGGTAAGGGACCCAAGTTCTTACTAATATCGTCTAATTTGAACAGCCCCATTTTCACTTCTGTGCTCCATTTTGCTGATTATCTAGCTTTTCTTTATGACGGTCTTATTTCTGTTCACATCTGCTACCTCTGGCACCTCTGGCCTTATGCTTTCCTCCATCTGTTTTGCTGATAATCTTATTTCTGTACTTGTAATGGGGAAATAGAATTAATACTAGCCCAGCCCCAAGGCCTTAACAAATACCAATAGCAAGATCTGCTAGATCAGAACTATCTTAATTTGCAATCAGGTATTGTTACATTGTTGTCATATATATTCAAACACCCTTACCGTACTATAAGATTGATGTTTACATGGACTTACTGCACCATTTATACAGGATTTTTTGTTTTGTATAAAACCTGTAAGCTGATCAGCAGGACAATTTTTTAAACAAACAGTTTAGCTTGTTTTTTACTGTTGATAATAACTACCATTTAGTATCCATTATATGTTAACATACTGTAGATTTTATAGACAGTTTCTTTAATCCTGAGCAAATATTCTTGCAAGGTGTTGTTTTTCTTTCACTGATGAAGGAACTAAATCTTAGAAAGGTTATACGATTGATCTAAGCTGTACTGGTATTTTTCTGTTATGCTGTGTTTCCTGGGGAAAGACAGAATTACAGTAGTATTCACTAACATATCATTTTCTCTAATTTCTGTTGCTTATTTTATTTGTATATATCTGATTCTTCCTGTACAGATACACCTTTCTTTTTGGAAAGCAGATATGGCAAAATTTCAGTTTGTATAAATATAAGTTTGAGAGTAACTTAAAATTTTACAGTAAAAAAAAAAATTTGTTACTTTACAAAGGAAACCACAAGGTTCTTGTAAATTTTGTACTTCTGTAATGTAGTTAAAGTAGGATTTTATTTTTAAAATAAGAGGAAACAATTTTGGAATGGAATAAATGTGTTGCTCAGTGTATTATGCTTTTTAAAGTCATTTTCATAAAATGTGTTGCTCAGTGTATTATGCTTTTTAAAGTCATTTTCATAAAATAATTTATGACAAATTATTTTAAACATGTATTTTAAAAATTGCTATATTTCAATCCAGTTGTGATATTAAATGTGAAATAAAGGAATAAAAGGCTATAAGTATATTGTTATCTTTAAAAGCTACATTATCGTTTAGAATTATTGATTACTACTACTTAAATTTTTATTGACTCAAAAAAACATAAATGATAGAGGGGAGAATATTGAGTTAAAGAAATAAAGTTGCGAGAGTTTAAATATGCAAACTGAAATTAAGTTTATGAAGAGATTTTAATTTTAATGCATGCTTATTGTTATGAGGTTTGCTTAGATTTATGCTAGGTAGATGTGTCAAGACAATGTGTATTTGCTTATTTCCTTCCCTAAAAGTATCTTGGTACCGTAGGAAGACATTTATGTTAACAGAATAGAGATGTAAGGAAATAACTCTCTTTTTTATAGTTATGAAGTAAAGAATTCTGAGAGTATAGAGCTCTTCTATGCAGTTACATGTTACAGACACCTTAAATTTTATATATACATATTCAGTACTGCACTGCATAACGATATTTTCGTTAGTGACAGACCACCTACATAATGATTGTCTCATAAAATTATAATTGAGCTGAAAAATTCCTAGTTTTTGCTATACTGTACATTATTTTAGAGTGTGCCTTTTTAAATACTTATTTTAAAAACAAGCTAAGTATAAAACAGCCTCAGCCAGGTCCTGTAGAAGGCATTTAAGAAGACACTGTTATCGTAGAAGTTGACAACTCCATGCATGACATTGCTCCTGAAAACTTTTCAGTGGGACAAGATGTGGAGGTGGAAGACCTTGATATTAATGATCCTGACCCTTGTAGGCCTAGGCTAGTATGTTTGTGTATGTGTCTTAGTTTTTAACCAAAAAAGTTTAAAGGTAAGAAAGAAAGTTTTTTTAAAAAAATGAGGAAAAGCTTATAGAATAAGGATATAAATAAAGAAAATATTTTTGAACAACTGCACGTATGTTTGTGTTTTAAGCTAAGTCATTACAAAGGAGAGTTAAAAAATTAAGTTTTATAAAGCAAGAACATTATAGTAAACTAAGGCTAATTTATTATTAGAAAGATTTTAAAAATAAATTTAGTGTAGCCTAAGTGTACGGTGTTTATAAAGTCTGCAGTACTGTGCAGTAATGATGCTTATACAGTGACAAAATTGCCTAATTATGCATTCCTCAGAACAGAACATATTCCCATCATTAAGCGATGTGTGACTGTAGAGCCGTACTTTGGAGATATTGTGGGTTTGGTTCCAGACCACTGCAATAAAGCAAGTTGCTTGAATGTTTTGGTTTTCCAGTACATATAAAAGT